TATTTCAAATTAACTCTACCTGCAGCAGACACAACAACAACAAGCTGCTGACACACTGAAATTTCACTATAAACAATCTAATGATGGCAGATATATTATATCAGTCAGAGGGACCAAACCAGGATGCTGAATTTAATACTTTTCTGGTAATACTTGTTTAATTTTGCTGAAGTAGGATTATTCTTGCAAGACTTTTACTAACTTTTGAGGCCTTCATGCGTTTAAACTGATGTCGTGGTTTCTTAGTCCCCTCTCTGTTTTGTCTGCCTCCTCAGATGGCCTTTTGGAACACCTTACTCTCACCTGACAGCTAATATGTCACAACTTGGAATTTTATTGAATACAGTCTTTTTATTAACAAAGTTGATACTACATTTCCACATAGCACATATTCACTGTCAGCCAGAAGGGGTTGACGATGTAACACGCTCTATAGACAAAACATCATCATGTCATTTATTTATTCAAATTTACAAAACTTCAGTCGGTCACATACTGCTTTACATTACACTTTTGTTACCGAATGCAAATACATGATTTTTATATCCATCCAGCTGGAGTCTATCCCAGCTGACTCAGGGTGAAGGCAGGTTCACCTGGACAGGTAACCACTCTATCACAGGGCTACACAAAGAGACAACCAAGCACACTCCCATTCACACCTACGCACAATTTAGGCATGTTTTGGACTGTGCGAGGAAGCTGGAGAACCCAGAGAGAACCCACGCTGCACAGGGAGAACACGGAGACTCCACACAGAAAGATCCCAGCGACCTAACTGCGACAAACCAGGGATCTTCCAGCTGTGAGGCGACGGTGCTAACCACCGAGCCACCTGCAGCCCATGATTTTTATATCATTTAATAATTAATTAATTTTCTTTCTTAATTTCTTTTTCTTTTTAAAAAGAAAAGAATGCTTTCTTTTGATTTTTCAGTGATTAGTGCTGTATGAGCTGACCAGACTTAGCAGACAGTCAGAGGCTAGCCAGGTGATCTCAGAAACCTTCCATCCATCCATCATCTATACACCGCTTAATCCTCACTAGGGTCGCGGGGGAGCTGGAGTCTATCCCAGCTGACTTAGGGCGAAGGCAGGGGACACCCTGGACAGGTCGCCAGTCTATCACAGGGCTACCTTAGAGACAGACAACCAAGCACACTCACATTCACACTTACGGACAATTTAGAATCACCAATTAACCTCAACATGTTTTTGGACTGTGTGGGAGGAAGCCGGAGAACCTGGAGAAAACCCACGCTGCACGGGGAGAACATGCAAACTCCACGCAGAAAGATTCCGGTGCCCCCACCGGGACGCGAACCGGCAACCTTCTTGCTGCGAGGCAACAGTGCTACCAACTGCACCACCCTGCAGCAGAAACCTTCCATCTATTCATAAATTGATTAAAAACAGCCAACTACCCAGTGTCCTTTTAATAGGGAGCCAGCACACAGCAATGAAAAGAGGAAAATTGCACCAATTAAAAAGTTCTTAACTTGTACTCAGTACTTGTACTTATCTTCTCTTCACATTAACATCCACCAGCACACCAACATCAGGCCTAAAGTACAGTGGCAGGAAAACTGGAATTTTTGTAGAGGAAGAATATTCCGCATTATGTCATGCTGAATGAATATGCCAACATTTTTAACTCTCAGCAAGCCATGCTAGGGAGTCTGCTACTAAATACTACATTGGTTTATTTTTAAAAATACAATTGTTGGTTGAGTTTGTTAAACTTCAGCAGTACATTCATTTATCTCATCATTTCAGGTAAAATGGTCACAAACAATTTTGAAATAAAAATGAAAAACATTAAGTTTGATTTACATTAAATTCTACAACTGAAACATTTATGTTTAGTAATTTTAAGAGACTTGCTGATGGTCACACAAAGTCCCTACAGGACGCCACACCCTCCGTGGAGAGTGTTTGGCGTCCTGTGTCACTGTAGTCTGCCAGTTGCTCAGCAGCAGACAGGAGAGTCCTCCAGAGAATCACCAAATACCACCCAGAACATCACTGGCTGCTCACCGCCTTGTGTGGAGGACTTATTCATTGACTGGACCTGAGTGCCTGCTAGCAATTACATTATTGCCGTATGTACCTTGTATTTATTGACTGAAACTACATATGTTTACACATGTTTACATACAACTACACCTTGTATGTAATTCTGCACTACTTAAGCCATACTTTTTCATACATGTTCAGCAATGTGCAATATCCAGAAGTGCAACATCAGTTACACTACTGTCTTTTATAGTTCCTAATATACCAAATAAGCTATCTTTAAAAGAATAAGCTATCCCATTGTTTTCATATATATATTGTTTTTGAAGTTACCTTTTTATCTTTCTACTAGATGTAATATTTTATATTTGCACATCCATCCATCCATTGTATATACACCACTTAATCCTCACTAGGGTCGCAGGGGGGCTGGAGCCTATCCCAGCCGACTTCGGGCGAAGGCAGGGGACACCCTGGACAGGTCGCCAGTCCATCACAGGGCTACACTTAGAGACAGACAACCAAGCACACTCACATTCACACCTACGGACAATTCAGAATTACCAGTTAACCTCAACATGTTTTTGGACTGTGTGGGAGGAAGCCGGAGAACCTGGAGAGAACCCACGCTGCATGGGGAGAACATGCAAACTCCACGCAGAAAGATCTTGGGTGTCCTCACCAGGACGCGAACCAGCGACCTTCTTGCTGCGAAGCAACGATGCAAACCAACTGCGCCACCTTGCAGCCCTATTTGCACATTTCTCACTGTATTTTAAAAATGTCTGGTTGTGTGAATGCACTGACAGGATTGGTAATTAATTCTGTTCTATTAGATTCTATTCTGTTCTATTGCTGTCAAGGGTGTCTGCATTCTGCAGGTTGAGGTCAAACTGTATTCACATTTGAGTTACTTGTATGGCATTCTTGCAACTAAGGCATGGGCATAACTATCTTCACAGTAAAGTAAAGAAAGTAAAGGTTATTTTATACATTGATAAACAGTTCTGACCGCATTGATTCAAATGCTCTATTGATAAACAGGTTAACTTCCCAGTACTTATCTAGAGGGGAACATGAAAGAACAAGTGAACATTTTTTCATCATTCAAACTCTGTCATTATTCATTTATAAATTGGTAATTGTTTCAACTAGGATGAGTAAGTTTCTAATTATTGTCCCAATAAAGAGTTTAGTCTATAAAAATCAGACATGGTGTCCAACAGAATGAAATCTGAAGAGATTTTGTGTACTGTCAAAGAAACCCTTCACACAGTGTTGAACTCCGTTGCTTGGATTGTGTAGTAAACAAGAACATAATTATCAAGACACAGTTGTTGATAGTTGGCTATTCTCTGTAGACTGATTATTTAGGTAAATGACACATCATCTCCCTATATGATAAACTGGTGTCTGGCGTATACATCCCCGCCCCCCCCAAATTTGTCTGTTTAGCTGGCCTGCTGAGCTCTGAGCACCAAATGATAATATTGTAGGTCTTCTCAAGAAACTGCTTTACAATTATTGCACATTGTGGTCCTGCAAAGTAAATTTCTATCATGTTCCTTCAGTATATCCAAATTCACAATAACATAACATAACATATAAATCAGTAATGAGTGAAACTGCTAAGTCATGGTGTTTTCATTAGTCCAATGTTTTTGTCTACTGACTACAAGTTCACTGAAGTGATTAAAAGTCACGGAATATACTAGTGCATCTCAAATAATTAGAATACCACGAAAACGTACATTCCATGAGTCGTTTTTTTTTTGTTTTTTTAAAGGCAGGGAAACTACAATATATTATTAACTCAATATATGTGAAGTGAAATATTTTAAGTCTTTTTTAGGTTTAATTTTGATTATTATGGCTTATAGCTCATGAAATTCAGTATCTCAAAATATTAGAACTTTTCATTTTGAGTAAATTCCTATTCAAATGGTAAAAATCCTGTGCATCTCTTGGTCTAGTTCAGTACACACAACCACAATCATGGGGAAGACTGCTGACTTGAATACTGTCCAGAAGAAGTTCATGGACAACCTTCACAAGGACGGTAGGCTATAGAAGGTCATTGCTGAAAAGACTGGCTGTTGGCAGAGTGCCGGAAGGGAAAAGTGTGGTTGCAAAATGTGCACAACCAACAGGGATGACAGCAGCCTTGAGAGGACTGTAAAGAAATCTTGATTCTAGAACTTAGAAGACCTTCATCAGCAGTGGACTAATGCTGGTGTCAGTGCATCAAAAACAACCAAGCATCGACGTCTCCAGGAAAGAGGCTACAACTGTTGCATTCCTGATATCAAGTCACTCCTGAACCAGACATCAGAAGCGTCTTACCTGGGAGAAGGACAAAAATAACTGGACTGTTGCTCAGTGGTCCAAAGTCCTCTTTTCAGATGAAAGTAAGTTTTTCATTTCATCTCGAAATCAAAGTCCTCCAGTCTGGATGAAGTGTGGAGAGGCACAGAATCTGAGGTGTTTGAAGTCCAGTGTGAAGTTTCTGCAGTCTGTGATGAGTTGTGATGTTCTGTCATCTGCCGGTGTTGGTCCACTGTGTTTTATCAAGTCCAAAGTCAACGCAGCGTCAACCAGGAGAATCTAAAGCACTTACAGTTCCATCTGCTGACAAGCTTCAGGGAGATGCTGATCTCCTTTTCCAGCAGAACTTTGGATTGGAAATGTAACCCGGAGGCCGGGTTACAGGAAGGGACACATTCTACTTCTTGTGGGAGCTTGAAAAGTGCGACTTAGTGGTACTGAGTAACTAAGACCTAAAAGTAATATTGTGGGTAAATGCACAACATGAAAATCATCAGTTTGCCTGATAGAATCGCTTGAAAATGATATTTCAGAGGCTTTTGGCTCAGACTATTACTGCTATGTTGGGACAACACTGTGCTCACAATGTCATTGCTCTAAGTGGAAACACCAATACAAATGGTCAGAGTACTTGGTAATGAAAGCCAAAGACACAAATGCCAAGTGGTATTTTTTTTTTTTTTTTTAAGAGAGCAAGCTGCAGTCACCATGAACAAATCTAAAAGTCTGCATTTGAACAAAAACTGGAGATGAACCTTCTCTTTACCCACCATCCATGGAATATTGTTATGAACCAAAGCACTGGTGAAAACAATTGCAGATTTCACACAAAATGTGACAGGGTTAGGGTTATCTCAAGCATAACAATGACCTCACGCACAAATAGGTTACTGAACATCAGAGCAGTCATCTAGACAGTGTGGTAAATTGTAGTAGTTCAGCAAAGCTAAAAGCTAACCTTGTAGCACAAATTGTTAGGAATGGGGAAGCGAGCATCATAAGCAAGTAAGAGAAAACAGGCATGTGCTCAGTGGGACGATCAACAGTATACAGCACGAGAAAAGGTGAATCACGACATTATGTCAAATTGTGTTTCTGGCATCCAAAGTTGTTGCTCCAACAATTCCCTCTAAATGCACCGTGGAAACAAAATGTCAACTAAAACAATGGTTTTATTTGAGACACAACCTGTCCACATTTCAACTGATATTGCTCTGTAGAAATGAATCGAATTACGACAATAAATTCTCGTCTTTCTTGGCAGTTCTTATGCCCAGTTTGGGAATTTGGCATTGATTTTCTCTCCTATAAAATCTTCTCAGGAGGAAACTAATATATTATATTGAGGCTACACCACATAAAGTATGACTGATCATATTCAAACAAACAAAAAAAAAAACCCCTTGTCTCTGAACACCCTGAGTGCTTCACATGAACAGAGATGAGTCAGTAGTCCAACAATAAACACCGCTAACACATTTGGTCCAGACAATTATAAAACCATCAGCGCAACAGGAACTCTCAGACTGTCAACACATGTCCATGCTATGTGTCTTCTACTGACTGTCAGAGCTCATCGTGGCGCAGCAGCTCCTGGTTGGGCCGGATGAAGACACCCTCCATGGTGCGCCACCAATTGTGCTGGTTGGGGGAGCTCATGCCGTGCACTTCGCGCTGGCCGCGGATGGGGTGGCCGTACTGCTCGCCCGTCACACTCAGGAAGACGTCAGTGCCCAGGTGTTTGAAGCGCACAGCTTCATCGCGGTCCCAGTGGATGCCATCACATTGAACTGTCCACACATCCAGATCATCGCCCTCGCCATTCTCACCAAAAGCGCTGACCTCCTGCAGACAAACACAGATGAAAGACAGAGGGAAAGAAAAGTATTAACACAGTGGTGATTTTATGGTGAACAGACACATCTGCCAGATGTCCTTGCTCTAAAAACCTACTCAGTTATCCTACAATGTCTTGGCTGTAATAAATGTCAATAAATCCTTCAGCAGCAATCAACACATCTCACTAACGAGTCTAGTACATGTATCAGAGCCTGATGCATCTTGGTTCTTTGAGCCAAAGCACTCCACTCTTACCCAGGAACAACTACAGTTGTGTACAAGTATAACAGCGAGTGTGTGTCTGACCTGGTTATTAGACAGGGGGGAGCTGAAGTGGTGAGTGTGAAGGTTTCGGCCAGTCTTCATGTGTGTGAAGCGGATGGCCTCACCACACTTGATGGCTGCCCCACGCTGACACGGACGGTTGGGTTTCCCACGAATCTGCCAGTAACTGTTGGCATCATCAGCATTTTCCACTCCGGTTACAGACTGTTGTCCACTGCCTGCACGCGCACACACACACACACACATACACATACACACACACACACACACTTGAGCTGCTAGTCCATTCATCCCAGCATTGTGATGAGTAGCCCTACCTCCTGAGCTGATGTTTCTGCTCCATCTCTGCCATTACTGAGTATTAAACTGCTGTCCCTGCTCTACTTGGCATTTACCAATGTATTAAAAAAAATAAATAAATGAAGTAAAGCAATGACAGGCATGGAGGTGGTACAAATCTTTCAATGTTCTTGCTCAGTTTTCTTGCACATGAAAGGAACATATAAGATACAGAATGATTTAGAGGCTAAAACCAGATCAACTGAGCCAAACTGAGCTAATCAAAGAACTTTCATCAAACAAAGATGCTGGTTTTGTTGTCCAAATGGGATAGTTGTCTCTTAGCCCATGTTGTAATTGACTTTTTTGTTTGTTTGTTTTTTTTGAAGCACAGTATCCTAAATTACTAGCTCATTGATGACTCTAAATTATATGTTAATCTACATAGAATTTGCAAATGAATATTTTTTGACCAATGAAGTACATGAAGTTTCTTTCAAATTTTGCACAGTGGTTTCAACCTACAAACTATTCTCTTCAGAAATATCAGAATAAGATCTTTGCAGACTTCTGACCTTTTCATGCAAAGACACTATGCTTGTTTGAGAAGAGTTAAACCTGTTCAGATTCGATGACTGGTGATCACTGCATAATGCAGGCAGGTTAGATTTCTGTCCTACTTGATCAAGACTAGCTCCGATGGCCGCTATAGCTCAACTGGTTGAGCTGGCGACCCATATACAGGGGCTATAGTCCCTGATGCAACGGCCATGGGTTTGAATCCCGCTCATGGTCCTTTGCTGCAGGTCCTTCCCTCATTCTTCTCCCCCACTTTTCTGTCTCTCTCTTCACTGTCCTAAACAATAAAGGCAGAAAGGCCAAAAAAAAAATACAAAATTACAAAAAAAAAAGACTTCTTCTGACGCTATGATGACACGGGCAACGATAATGTCATGAGTTCTAGGCAGCTGCAGTTTTTGGAGCCGGGTGCTGCAGTTACTCTTTACCGACTGTGCAGCCTCAACGGATAAAGTAAAACCCTGGCTTTGACCTGGTCTAACAGCTGGTTGGTTTAGAAGGGGGGTGAATATTATGAGGCTTGGTAGAAACCTTTAATATATTTTGGAGTTTGAAAGATTTGATTTTATTAGTCAGATTTTGAAGGTTTATTGTGTTCAGTGAATACAAGCTGTCACAGATGCTGAATACATTCAGGTTACACATCACAAAATTCAAACATTACACAGTCTACCGTATGTTAGTGTTGGACTGATTTAATTCTTGAAGTATTTAAAACACAAATACTTCTGGTAGAGGATATGAGGATTCTAAAGACAACAACTTCACAGATGTGAAGCCCTAACAATATCTGACATATCAATGATGAGTTATCTTTAATTTCTTGATACTGTATATAACTACCCATCAATGCTTTCAATTTATTTATGTAGTTTGAGATGGACAGTCTGCTCAACTGATAAATATGCAACAGTTGACAGACAGCGCTGTCTTACATGAGAATTCATTTAAAATGGGAGAAAAACCATGAACAAAGATCACAGATCACCTGAACAGTTTGTAAATAGGCTACACCCTGTCAACTACAACATCTGGGACCGACTTAAACTGAAGTTGAGGCTATGACAACATTTTCTGTATGTTCCTGTGCAAACTGAGGCTGTGCTGCCTTAACTTCGCCCTCTGCTGCTGCTGTCTGGGTTTCAGCAGGCAGCTTATCTTGAACAAGCCTGCTGTGACATTCACTGCATGCTCTCTGTTTAACTTTGTGTACTTATGTTAGAATATTTCTATTATGAGCCTGTTTTGAATGGTTTAAGTGTCAAGTGTCAGCCTTCTGTGGCTTCGAGACACACTGCAGTGCAGGCTGATATGCATTCACACTGCTCCTGTATCATTGACTAAACACACACTGCTCTTATCTCACTCTTAGTAGTGCCAGAAGAAGTTTTGCTGGTTAGGCAGATGAATTAAAACCTAAAAGCACAAGTAGTGTGCTTGCATGGAATACATGGACAATGATCTACTGAGCGTGTATGCCATGAAGTTCTCCAAGAGGTAAGTAAAATAAACTTGTATAAAGCCTTGATTTTGCAGCTTTGTAGATGCACACATGGACAGCTGTATACCCAACAGATGTGTAGTTGCTGTCATTACACTACCTTCTAACACAATTAGAAGACTCCATTCCATATGTGTGCAGTTGATCAGTGTCTATGTTTTCAGCTTATGTACACTAAAGCCAAACACGACAACCCCTGTTAGCATAGTTCACAGAGAAACTGATTTTTGAGGGGTCCATGCGGACTCTCACACACTTGGGGAGAAGATGAAACTGTGTGTACATTTGGCCTGAGCATGTGTGGTATAGAGCCTCTTGAGAACAAAAAGTAGATTAACAACATCTATGTGTCTGTGCTGTCGGCAGCTGTCCATGTGTGTCCACAGCGTACTGGTGGCTACCTGACTGAGATGTATGAGTGGAAAAATGAAATGGATTTAAGAGCTAACAGGAGAATGTACAAACCCCAATTCAAATGAAGTTGGGATACTGTAAAACTTAAATAAAAACAGAATACAATGATTTGCAAATCTTTTTCAACCTATATTCAATCAAATATAATACAGAGACAAGATATTAAATTTTCAAACTGATCAAGTTTATTGTTTTTTTATCAAATATTCAGTCATTTTGAATTTGATGCCTGCAACACGTTCTAAAAAAGCTGGGACAGGGGCAACAAAAGACAGGGAAAGTTGAGGAATGCTAAAAAAAAAACACCTGTTTGTAACATTCCAAAGGTGAACAGGTTAATTGGAAACAGGTGGGTGTCGTGATTGGGTGTAAAAGGAGCATCCCCTAAAGCTTCAGTCGTTCACAAGCAGGGACGGAGCAAGGTTCACCACTTTGTGAACAACTGCATGAGCAAATAGTTCAACAGTTTAAGAACGTTTCTCAACGTACAATTGAAAGGAATTTAAAGATTTAATCTTCTACAGTCCAAAATATTATCAAAAGATTCAGAATCTGGAGAAATGTCTGCATGTAATCAGCAAGGCTGCAATTTCATTGAATACTTGCGACCTTCAATCCCTCAGGCGGCACTGCATTAAAAACAGACATCATTCTGTAAAGAATACTACCAAGTGTGCTCAGGAACACTTTGGAATACCATTGTCAGTTAACACAATTCGTGGCTGCATCTACAAGTGCAAGTTACAACCCTACTATACAAAGGGAAAGCAATGAATTAACACCCAGAAACGCCAACGGCTTCTCTGGGCCTGAGCTCATCTTAGATGGACTGATGCAAAGCGGAAAAGCATGATGTGGTCTGATGAGTCCACATTTCAAATAGTGTCCTTTGGACTAAACAAGAAAATGACCATCCATATTATCAGTCCAAAGTTCAAAAGCCAGCATCTGTGATGGTCTGGGGATGTGTTTGTGCCCATGGTATGGGTAACTCTGTGAAGGCACCATTAATGTTGAAAAGTACATACAAGTTTTGGAGCTACATATGCTGCCATCCAGACAACATTTTTTTCAGGGATGTGCCTGCTTGTTTCAGCAAGACTATGCCAAGTCACATACTGCTTGTGTTACAACAGCATAGCTTCATGGTAAAAGAGTATGGCTACTAGACTGGCCTACCTGCAGTCCAGACCTGACTCCCATTGAAAATGTGTTGAGCATTATGAAGAGCAAAACATGACAAAAGACTGTTGACCAACTGAAGTCATATATCAAGCAAGAATGGAAAAGAATTCCGCTTTCAAAACTTCAACAATTAGTGTCCTCAGTTTCTAAACACTTACTGAGTGTTCTTAAAAGGAAAGGTGATGTAACACAGTGGTGAACATGGCCCTGTCCCAGCTTTGTTGGACGTGTTGCAGGCAAATTCAAAATGGGTGAATATTTGGAAAAAGAACCATAAAGTTGAACATTTTGAGCATTTAATATCTTGTCTTTGTAATGTTATCGATGGAATTTAGGTTGAAAAAGACTTGCAAATCATTGTATTCTGTTTTTATTTACATTTTACACAACATCCCAACTTCACTAGAATTGGAGTTTGTCAAGTAGCACAAACAAAAGCTCTGTGGAAAATAAGTAAATAAATTAAGACATCATAGTTGTTGTATACAAACAGAATGTTTTTCCACAAATAGTATGAGGGCAGCCATGAGCTGTAGACAACAGGGATTGTTTAACTCATCATTCCTAACACAGTCCTGATGTTTAAGTCAATAAAATACATCTCCAAAGTTCTACTTCAGTCTACTGTGGTATTTTCAGTTTGGTACAGTAGTCACTTTATAATAGTCTTTACTTTGACCTGAGGCCCACCAGTTACAATGAAACCATGTATTATATGTGGCATAGGCTGGTTCAGGTATACATGACTAAATAAACATGCAAGCCGCTGACAACTGCCCCTGGACTCAAATATAGACTGTTTTCTTAGCGGCCACCGCTGGGCCTGCCACCAGGTCAGGTCAGGTCAGGTCATGCCACCTGGACAGAACACATCCTTCCTATCAGTCTGAGCTGTCTGACCTCAGCCAGCAGCTCCTTGTCCACCGGCTGCTGTCAGGCTCAGAGCTGAACGTCTGCCTTCACGGCTCCTGTCAGCCCTGCCATCCTACCCGAAAGGTTAACTGACCGGTGCCGGATGGACGCAGCAAGCCGCCGCTGTTACCTGAGCCGTACTTGACATCGTGGGAATGCAGGCGGACGTTGTGCCGGGTGTTGAGCAGCTTGACCAGGGAGCCGCAGGTGACCGAGTTCAGCTCCGGCTCTCTGCCTTCAGCGCCGGACCACAGCAGCAGAACCAGCAGCGAGCTCGCCAGTACAGTCTCCATCGCGTCCATCTGCGTGTCCGGTGTCACGGCGGCACAGCGACGCTCCCAACCTCACTGCTGCTTTGGGCCAATCAACGCTTGACAAGTCCTGAAATACGGAAGTACATGTTAACATGTGATTGGCTACAGTGCCGTGACGACAGTTACATGCAAACTGGAATATATATATAGCACTAGCTCTTTAAGGAATACAGATGCAGCGAAGTGCTTCAGGAAGAGAGATAACACTTCTCACAGCAAGAATGTGAGATGAACAAATTGTTTGTTTTTGGTGAATTCACATTAACAACAATAATTCAATTCAACTCAATTGAAATAACTTTCCCCTAGGGGTAATTCAAAAGTTCACTGAATAGTTAATAAAAGAGATAAATAAATAAATAAAACAATGAAAAAAAAAACTACTACTACTACTACTAATAAAAAAACAATAAACCACATCATAAATATTAAATTATATTACATTGGCATTGTCAGGGGGTTAGCAGGTCAAAGATGGTTGTGCATTTAGGAGGACAGCTCTGTGAACAAAAGTTGCCCTCCTTCTTTGAGTCCAACAGCCTGGGCAGCGAAGGTGACATCCAGAGGGGAGCCACTTGAATGCAAGGAACAGCAGGTGTGATGGGTTCTGAAGAATCTGGCTAATAATAATAATAATAATAACAATAATAATAATAATACTAATAACAATAATAATAACAACAACAACAACAATAATAATAACAATAACAATAATAATAATAATAATAATAATAAACCCTTAGTATCAGACAGGGGATGAAATAGGCAGAAGATAAAGTGCACTGTTGTTGCCACATACATGGGGTCTTAACGGCAGAAACTTTTTTGTAAACAAGAATGATAGCCATTGTAAGGTCAGAGGCCAAAAAGAGCTCTGCCAGGAGGACGATCATTGTTCAAGAGCTTCCCAACTTGTTTTTGTCAGATGTACCCCACACATCTGTTGCATTGAGCCACACTAACAGCAGCTGTCATATTTCAGCCGGACTGAACCTCATTATGATTCGGCGAAAGGAGAAAAACTGAAAAACAACTCTCTGGCTCATTTGTATTTCTTTGAATTAATCTCACTCATCCATGGTGATGATGTCTGCAACAGTTCCCCCTTAAAATTGTCTTTGTGGTACATTTGCGTGCAGGGAGACAAGGCTTGTCATTAAATTCAGTAATTCACTCCAGAATTAAATAGATGACTGGTGGAGGCTGGCTGCTGCTGGGAGCCTGGGCCTGGTGGAGGCTGGCTGCTGCTGGGAGCCTGGGCCTGGTGGAGGCTGGCTGCTGCTTGGAGCCTGGGCCTGGTGGAGGCTGGCTGCTGCTTGGAGCCTGGGCCCGGTGGAGACTGACTGCTGCTTGGAGCCTGGGCCTGGTGGAGTCTCCGGGTCTCACTGAGACAGAATCGCACCCACTCCGGCATCGGATGCGTCCACCTCCACTATGAATGGCCACATGAGCCGGGTTTGCCCGAATAAGGTTCGGGGGTGGGAACCTTTGGCTCAAGGGAGCAAGGAGGAGAAGATACAGAAAGAAGTTGAAATAAACAAAAGTAATAATATCTACATGCAGCTGGCTGCATGGACCATGGACTACCTCACTGACAATGAATGAATGAATGAATGAATGAATGAATGAATGAATGAATGAATTAATGAATGAATGAATGAATGAATGAATGAATGAATGAGGGCTGCTTTATTGCACAGTCCAAACCCAACAATTTGATATTTTCAGTGAGGTAAGTGGCTCCCTGGATGTTGCTGTTTCCCGTTGTGAAGGGGATTTTTTAAATGGTAACACAGATTCAACATGTGATCAATGGCAGGCTTACATCTGCAGTCTTCAGCCGCTGGGTCAGATGTTCTAAAGGGGTATTTCCAGTGAGCAGTAAGTTGGGTCTTATAACCTCACAAGATATCCAGAAACATATGAAGTTAGCTTCACACAATTATTATTGTTGCAGCCTTTGCAGAGGTATAAATATCAGTAAATATTATTTGATTAATAAACTAGTTGTTGTCGCGCTGAACAAAAGATTTTAGGGATGTGCTTCATTGTTTATGGTCTGTACACAAGCTGCCTGATGGTCAGTTTCAGTTAATTACTGACAAAATTCTTGAGGATCAAATAATATCAGACGGATATTGGATAAAGCTTTTCTCATAGTTTGTGCTTGAAACTTAAAGTCAACTGGTGTACTACACTGTTTTGAACTGCCCCATGAACAGGGGCTATAGTTCCCTGATGCAGCAGTTCGACTCTCACGACCCTTTGCTGCAGGTCTCTCCCTATTCATCTCCCTCCTTTCCTGTCTATCTCTACTGCTCTAAATAAAGGCAAAAGTCCCCAAAAATATAGTATAGTATAGTATAGTATAGTATAGTATAATATAGATCTAAATAACTGACAGATTGTGTTGTTCTAAGGTGTTGTTGCTGATTTCCTCACAAATTTTGCAACAGGGTAAATATTGATTCAGATTCTTGACCCGGTATTCCATCCATCCATGGTCCATCCGTCTGTGGCGGGGGGCTGATGCCTATCCCAGCTGATGTAGCCTGTATGGTATTGCAGTGTGGAATGTAAATACTTTCTATTACATGTGAAAGTTTTGTGTTGTAAATTTTTTTATTAAGCTACAATGACGAAATTGTACTTTATACAAAGATACACTACCGGTCAAAAGTTTTAGAACACCACACTTTTTCCAATTTTTTACTGAAAATTATTCCGTTTATTGTGTCATTGCATTCTGAAATGAAAGCATAGAACAAA